TGTGATAGCACTTTGGCAAAGAACCAAGTTTATCATGCAAGGACGAAGTATATCGACGTTCGATTTCATTTTGTTAGAGAAATTTTAGAGGAAGGACAGGTTCAACTCCAGAAGATTCAGATTGCTGAGAATCCTGCTGATATGTTGACAAAAGCGGTGATAGCTGTCAAGTTCAAATACTGTTTGGACTTGATTAACATTGTTAAAAATTGAAGCTTGGCACGACCAAGTGCATTTGTAAACATTGCAACTTTGTGAGAGATCGAGCAGAAGCTTGCATTGGTGGGATTTTCGCCAAAGTGGAGATTGTTGGTTATGTGGCAAATATCCCACGTCGGGATTTTAGGAAGGGAGAGGGGCTCCTTTTGGCTATAAAAAGGAGCCTAGTTTCTTCATTTTAATCATCTCAACTTGTCTTCCAATACCTACTGGGTTAGACAAGTTTCTCTCCTCTCTCAATTTGTATATTTCTTCAGTGAAATATAAATTTGGTAGTGTCCGAGGACGTAGGCAAAATTAACCGAACCTCGTTAAAATTCTGGTGTTTTCTCTTATTTATTGCTTTGTCTTTATTTATTTAATAGCTATTGTTGGGCAAAAATATTTTAGTGGTTATTGTTTGATTAATTGCATGTTTAGGTAAATTCTGTCAAACAACATGAATTGAGTCCAAGGCAAGTGGATTTTAAATGAGACTGTTTGTGGCTCCTCTACTTATCTGGAAATTTACCTGGTGTAGTTACTCAGTACAGTAATTCACAAATTATTTTTAATTTGGCAAAAAAAGTCCAATTTTTACAACACTAATTAACTCCGAATGAAGTGAATGCAAAGATACTATTGTACAATCTAATATTCCTTTTGAATTATTTTGCTTCATCATTAGTTGAGGTGAATAAATCCAGCAAATGTTTTGATATTTTTTATGTTGCAAGCTTCACTTTGCTATTTTGACAACAGAATATGGGTGTGTCATATTCAAACCTCTTAGCGCCACAATAGTTGCACGGAGAGACATTCTTTAGTTTCTAAAGAGCTGAACACATAGGATGATATAATAATTGTGCTGAGAGAGTACTATGATTTAATAAATTTTAACATGATATATTTATTTATTGTTACTATAACGTGATTTTGTCTTACCGTAGTATTCGCAAAATTGTATTTGTGCTCTAATAGCCATTCTTTCCTTTGCTTCTTTGTATTGCATTCATTTCAATCACTTGGGTCATTTGTTTGCTGTAATTTGTTGAAATCTCTCTTCCTTCTTTGTTTAGTTTTTTTTTCTACAGTTGTTAGTTTTTTTTATCTGTCTTTTCATTGTATACTTCTTTTACTTGTTCATGTAATTGTGTTTAATAATTTAAAATTTGGTTCTTTATTAATTGAAATAAATAAATTTAAAATAAATAACATACCATATCTTATGTTGCTCGATAAAATTGTCCAATGCGAATGTTGATTACTAATAAAATGACATAATAATACAAAATTATATTACAACAAATTGAGGTGCGAAATTACAATAATATTTATATGAAATTGGTATTTTATGAATATAAAATTAAGATTCATTTGGTAATAGAATAATTTTAGAACCGAGTAACTTCAATTTTTTATTAAAATTTCATTTTATAATTTAATGGTTTATAATAATTAGGTATTTATTTTAAATTATTTATATATTCTGTATTTATATATTCTGTTTATATATATATATATATATAATATATATATATATATATATATTATATATATTATATTATATATTAATATATTATATATGTACACGCCGCTTAGTCAAAGATGATTAATAAAATTAATATGATTGTTATTTCTCTAATCTAGTTAGTTTTATTAAATGAACGTAAATAATTTATTTCAGAAATATATGTACACGCGCTTAGTCAAAGATGATTTAATAAATTAATATGAGTTGTTATTTCTTCTATATCTAGTTAGTTATTAAATGAACTAAATATTTATCAAATTTACATACTATAATAATGAAATGAGCAATAGAACCATTAAATCATGTAAATGGCAACGTAGACAATTTTTAATTCTGATTTAAATATTATAAAATTTTATTACTATTTTAATCTAAAATAAAAAAAAAATCACTATTGAAGTACACAGAGTCTTCAATATTTTGCATTACATGAGTAAATCATTTTTTTCCGAATCATTTTTAATAAGTAAAGATAAAAACATATCTCATGATAAAAACATATCATTTTTCTTTAGTCTTGTTCTATTTTCGACGTCTTCTTCATCATCTTCAATGACTATCGTTGGTCTTTCCAATTAATATTTCAGCTTCCTCAAACATTGTTGCTAAAAATGATGTCTTTCCACTATAAATGTAGAACATAAGCAAGTACCTGCAATATCTTCTTTTCCACCATCATAGCATCTTGCTTTACCATCACTTTGTTCATAAACTTTTTTACCACACATGTTTTGCAAGTTTTGAACCATGAAGCATCTTTAGTTACAATGCTTCTTATTTCCCCCTCAAAATAACATTCCACACCCTAGATATTTTAATTGTGTTATTATTAATAATAACAATATTAATAAAATTTATAACTTTAAATAAATATTAAACTAAAATACAAACTTTAAATGTTTGTCATTTTATTTCTTCTAATTCAACTTTTGGTCCCCGTTCAAAATTTTCTGAATTTGATAAAAAACAACTTTGATATTTTCCTGCCATATAAAATAGCTGAAAAAAAGAAAAAGTAAATTAGATATATTAATATATTAATATATGATTTTCAATAATAATTTCATAATATAGTTTGTTATTTGAAATTAAAATTATATAACTTACGTATTTCGAAGCTTATCTACCAACGGAGTATTTGAATTAAACAATATTGTACTTACAGAAGTAGATTGGATTTGAAGATCACCTATAAAACAAATTATAAAATCAAACTTTAAAATATTAATGTTAAAAAGCAAATTTTTAATAAATATATTTATTGACATCAAATAATATAGAAAAATAAAAATTTTTACCTTCATAATATTCAGCATGAACATTTGATAATGCTATAATTGGAAACTGGCCATCTTTATAAAAATACTCAAGAATTCGTCCTTCGTTCACAGCGACATCTTTCCATAAATATAGTTGTTCCATTCTAAATATTAACAAATAAAATCATCTAAGTTAGAAAAAAACATTTAAACAATTAAAAATATTAATTTAGTGAAAATTAAAAATAAGAGTAATAATTACTCTTCATTGACAATTTTGATGTCTCTTTTCATGCCACCATCGCTGGTTTGACTTGAACAAGTACACACAGAAAATCTAAAAATGCAAGAAAATATATATAATAGATGTTGTGGCAATTTTTAAAAAATTAATTTTAGAAAAAAGAACAACAAACCTAATAAATTTTTTTCTTCAGCATACTTCTTTAGATAATTCAGCTTTTTTTTCAGTATATTCTTCGGCATATTTGTTTACAATATCCAGATTCACAAAATTATACGTTACAATTTCTTTTGAAATTTTTATCCACAGTACTATATTTGTTGAGCGAAATTTCAAGCACATTGTGAACATTGGCATAGTGATCATTAATTTTCTTCACCGCACCATGTAGGTGTTTTCTTAAGCTCTCTTGTAACTCAGTTAACAAGTCAATTGTTGGCTCTGTGGTAAACACCTTTTAGAAGGACCAAAGACTCAAATGAGTACTCAAAAGTGCATTATAAGTTTTCATATGATATGCATGCTTAGCGTGCACCTTGTTGGTTATAATTGGAAAATAAAACATTACTGCTTTCTTCTTGTTGTAAATGAAAAAATGTTTTATTTTTAGTTCACCAAGTTAGAGAGAACAAGGTTTGCTAATTTCTTTTTATACATTGACAGTGAAACATCATATAATCAAAAGGTGAAAACAGAAAAATCAGGAAAATGGTGACTTAATAATTGATAAACTGTTCATCATGTGCAACGAACAATTGTCACCTAGTACTGAAGCATTGCTGTCGCTACAAAAAACAATGATGATCTCATCATTTTGCTTATAGAGGGAGCATTATTCCCATTCTAGGTAGTAGTTTTCAATATGACAATGAATGCATGATTCACATGACTGCTTTGGCGACTTACATAACTTGTAGGTCTGATTTTTGTGGTGTTACATTAGAATATAATTAAAGATTAGTTTTTTAACCATGGCACAAAAGAATGAAAGGAAAGGGTGTCGTGAACAATTCTTTATTTTTGGATGCTTGAACTTGTAAGAAGAAATATTTTAATGCTCCACTTTTAGCTAGCCAGTGTTGAAGAAAGGACGGTAATAATTATTGGATTTGGGCTATTACATCCTTATTGAAAAATATATATTTGTAACTTGGTTGGATCCCGGATTAAATTCCATTAAATTAAGGCATTCATTCCCTTCATGTAAAGGAGGAGTTCAACAGAAGTCATCTTTTACCTCAACCCATCATATATGGCACTTGTGTAACAATAGAATTTCATTGTGCTTGTATCATGGTACACGATGCTTCTATTGCCCTTCCCCTCATTCTTACTTTTTATGTTGTCGCATCGATGTTTCATTTTGTTTTGTTATGTAACTAAGATACAATGGCTTCACTTATATTTGGTTTTGGAAAAGAGAAGATAATATAGAATATAAATTGAAACTTGGTCTTGGACATGTTATGCTGATGGCATAACTAATAGAGTTATTTCAGTTTGACTTATTGGCAATCAGTTGGAGTTAAAAGTTTGGAGCAAGTGTGGTAACTCGTTTCGTATGTTAATTTTTCATCTTAAGCTTTTTAATAGTTGAGACACTGAATAATTATTACAAGTTATATGGCATAAAAGGAAGTTCTAGAAAAAAGAAAATTGTCTTTAGCTGGCACAAATATGGAATATCATTTTAGGATGATAACCATTCATAACAATCATTAAACATCTATATACTGGTGAAGAGTCCTCAAATATAAATTTAGAGATGCCACCAGGTGACCAGGTCTTAATTCATTATATAATATATATGCTGACATTGATTTGACTAACATCCATGAAAACTGCATTTGAATTAGCAGATCAAAATTTGTGCTTGGAGGTAATTTACATTTTTCCTTTTCTTTCCCTTTGCAGGAATTCCCGAGTTTATCTTGATCTCGGTGCATTATTATAATCTACAATCATTTTTGCTTTCATCTGGATACTTTGCAGGAAAGAGGAAAGCAGAGTCGGAGGTTCTTTCAAAGAATCCAAACTCCGGTACTACTTCTTGGCATTGCCTTAATGACTCTAAGCATATGATTTTGAAGATGCATTCCTGTTGCATATGATGGCTTAGAACTATTGATGTCTTTCATGTGAAAAAAAAAAGGTAAATGGATGTGATAAATACGATATGCATCTGAATAGAATTCTGTGGATGATCAAGATTCTTTGAGTTGGAATATCAATTACAAAAAATAAAAGGGCCATAAATCTACTAATGAACATTAACTTGTATCACTGCATGTTTATGATCGTTCTTGAATTTGAATGCTCTCAGGTGTTGTGTTAAGACCTGCCTTCATCTATGGAAAAAGAAGGGTTGATGGTTTTGAGATTCCTCTAGATTTGATTGGGGAACCAGTGGAGAGAATTCTCCGTGCTACCCAAACCTTCACCAAACCATTAAGTTCTCTTCCAGCATCATATCTCATTTTGGCACCACCAGTTAATGTCGATGATGTTGCACTTGCAGTGATAAATGCAATAACAGATGAAGACTTTTTGCAGTGATAAATGCATCAGAAACAGATGATGATACGGATGCATAAAAAGTCTGCAAACTATCACAGCCTCTGTGAATGTCTAAAATATTGGGTTATAATTTTCGTGAGGATAAAACTTCCTTAGATCCGGTTCATGGGTAACATATGGAGCAAATATATGAAAATATAAAATTTATTTCTTGAAAGAGCTTATTTAAGAAAGTGTTAGATGTGTCATTTGAAGATTTCCAACAAAATGATAAAAGGAAATTGATCAAACATTGTGAAGAGTCATGCAACAAGTATACATTCTGAATCATTCACCCGTCTCTAACAAAATCCAAAAACTTTTAGAAGGCAACAACCAAATACATTGTCTACCTAGAAAAAAAAAATTTCTGAGATCAATATTATTGGTTCAAGGAAAATGCCTAAAGATTTTGATGATTTACAAACCAAATAAATTTAATATTATGTATGTGTTAAATTATTTTATATAGAATTTTTTATGGTGAACTAATGAAGATTTGTGATTCCTATGACTGGGAAGATTATTGAAGACTATGAAGATAAAGTGAAGATTAATTTAGTTAGTTTGTAAGAGTTATTAGGATAAATGTAGGATATAGAGATTTATGTTATTATAAGGGCAAATTACTTATATTTTAAAATTTTCTTTTAAAATTATTTTTGAAATCTTTTGAGTAAAATTTTTTGAGGGAAAAATGCCTTTGATTATTGTGTTTCATGGAAATCAAAATACAAAATGGTTTTGGCAAAAATTTTGGAGGTTATGTCAAATCAAAAAAAGATTTTCTATAAAAAGCAGTTCTGTTCTGTTCTGACAGAATTGATCAGTTTCTAATAAAAGCTAACTAGTTTTTATATACTGCATATCACCTACCCGGTCTTGCTTGTTTTAGTACAAACAAATGACTAGCATCTTTTCTAACACCATCCCAAGCCATTCCTTTTAAACTTTTATGTCAGAAAAATATCTTCCTTTAAAGATATCTGAACGTTGCATTTCTAATGGGAAAATATTTTGTCTAAGTATAAAATGACTTCCTCTATCAAATCAAAAATCAAGAGTAAAAGATCAAAGTTTCAAAATATTCAAGGTTCTTCTCTTCAGCCTCCTTATTTCTTTTCTCCTACAAGTTTACTGAAAATTTTTAAGGGAAGAAATTTACAATAACTCTTTTGAAGAACAATTTTGATATTAATTTTTGTTTCAATCTCTCTTTTGTTCTTCCTATGCTTATAATGCATTTTTCTCTATTTATATAAATTTGTTGTAATTTGTTGTAGACTAGAGGTTTTAAATAAAAAATATTTGTGTATAGCTTAGATTGAAAAACTATGTTGTAAAGGTTATCAAACAACCGTCTCCTTTAATGAGATTTTAAAGATTGAATTTGAATTTTTTGTTCTTTGTAAAATAAAAAGGTAGAAGTTGACTAGAACCTTGTAAATATAGTGCGTCAAAGGTTAAATATAGGTATTTGATCTATTTTCTCTGCAATATTGGTTTGTCTCTTACTCTTTAAAAGAGATAACATAGTAGAGAATTTCAAGAGAAGTTCTTAAGGAGTGGATGTAGGCAGGTTAATGCCGAACCACTATAAATCCTTATGTTTATCTTCTTTCTAGTTTGAGATATTGCTTGATTACACTTGTTTTACACACATCTGTTTATGTTTCTAGAAATGCAAAATTATTAATGTTTTTCTATTTCTGAATGTGTAAAAGCTCTATCTTTGTGGAAGTAATAGAATTTGGATTTCTATTCATGATTTCTCCAATTCTAATTTATTCTACTATATCCTAAAGAAATTTGAATTTGAATAGTATTTTGTGCTCTAATTTTTTATAGCTTTATGAGGAAGTTTTAATTCTACTACTTTAGAATTTTGATCTTTGGTTTTAAAAGTTAAATTTTTTAAAAAACTCAATTCACTCCTCTTTTGGGTTCTGTCATATAACAGGACTCACAAATATATAATAAAAACAAAATAAAAAGAGTTCAATTTTGATTTTAAGAAAGGTTAATTTTAGAAAAGTGTATGTATATTTAAAGGAAACTTTTAAAAAAAGAGGGGCCAATTGTGGCCATTTCACAGTTTTCGGAACTGGAACCATGAGAAACTGGAATTGGTCAGAATCAAAACTGGAACCGTGAGGAATTAGAACTGGTAAGAATCAAAATTGGAACTAGAGGTCTGTGTCCGATTCCGATTCCAACTTCTGAGGAACCGTGAATCGGTGGTTCCAAGAATCGGCTGGAACCGGCGATCTTTCCAACCAAAACTGCCGGTTTGAACCGGCGATTCCACCCTGTTCCAATAACTTTTTTGCTGAATATTTTTGTAAAATCTCCAAATTAACCCTCCTAACAACCATATAATGGCTAGTTTTTTAAGGGTATTTATGGAAAGTTTATTTTTTTGAATTTACTGTAAATGCCCATTTCATTTAAAAAAAATAAATTAAGTTCAAGTCATTTTTCTAAAAAAAGAAAAAATAGTAAGTTCAAGCCTTTTTTTTTAAAAAAAAATTAAGTTAAGCTTTTTTATTAAAGTTTTTTCTAAAAGTTATTTCATAAATATTTAAATTTTAAATTTTAAAAAATTATTTCCTAATTTTTGATTTTATAATTATACGATTTGCCGAAAAATTAATCAGAAAACCGGCCAAAACTGTCAATTTTAGAACCGTTAAGGAACTGAAATCTGAATCGTACAAATCGTAACCGAACCGTCAGTTTCTAGTTCGATTTCGGTTTCAGAATTTTTGGAATCGGAATTGACAGTTTTGAAATCGTGGTCACCCCTAGGGCCAATTGATCCCCTTTTTTCTAAAAGTGGATCTGCCACTAATTGTTTAGAGAATTAAATACATGTATCAGACAGTGAACTTTCACTAATCTGAATAGTATATTTATTGTGCATTAGTTTTTTAAAAATACTCATTATTTTTACTCGTTATATAATTTTATTTTTTCTTGATTTATTTCAAAAGTTTATTATTTGCATGATAAGATATTGAAAAAAAAAAAGAGATAGATAAACCCGGTACTTTTTATTTAAATATCTACTATAATTTTACATATTTAAAAATAATAATATAAATTATTTATTATACAATTGTTCCCTTGACCAGGTCAATCTCCTTCTCCCTTTCAAAGAGCTGTCATATTTTAATAAGTGATTTAGCTTTTTAAGAAAACTGTTTCACTGAAACGTTGAAATCACTATCTTTATTATTTTGAATATTGGTATCTTTTTAACATTATTGATAAAAATTTTAAACGTACTCTGTTACTTATTTGGTAGCATGAATTCCTTGTCGACAAGGTTATTTATGAATGTTGCATCCTTTGTCTTTTTTTTTCTTATTCAACTTTACAAGAACCTTTGTTATGGACATCCATATCCCTTTTGATAGTGTCACATAGAGTTGTCCGTGTAAGAAAACATCGTGTGACCTATATTTGATATCATTTGCATTTGGACTTTGTTTATTGTAATTGTGAAACATAGAACAACTAGAAATTGCTTTTTCTTGAAATGAAACGGATATCCTTCATTTTCAGAGTGTTATTCAACTATTATAGGTTATATTAGCTCCAAAATTTTTATTTTCCATTATGGTTCTATTACACAGACAATTTGAGGCATCCAAATTACAGGCTCTATCACTTTATCCTCCTTAAATTTCATTTCGTCATTTAAAACTCCCTCACTATTATTGAAGTAACATTATAAAAAAAATTGTTTATTAGTTTCCGATACTCAACCAGTTAAAGTTGACACCGAGAGACTCAATAATTTCTACCGTATAGAAAGGGCCCACTTTAATCCCTTACTAAACTTACGTGATTTGAGTTGAAATTTTTTTAATTTTATAATGTCATTCGCTTGCTCCACTCATCATATAAAAGTGTGTATTTCACAAACCCCCAACCACATTATTAAATCCTTCTTTCCAATTTTTTTTTTTAAATTTTCACAAGAATTCTTTCATCAATATTGGCTATTTTTCGTTTTAAAAAATATAAATTAATTATTTCTCTAATATATCAATATTTAGTTTACTTATTGTCAATTTTATTCAATTATTTATAAACCATCAAATATTAATATAGGAGCATATTAGAAAAAAGTGTAGTTAAAATTAATTGTTTAAACTATATTAGATAATTTTCTTTAATTTTTGAAAAATAGAAAGAAACATATTGTTTGGTAGAAACGGAGGAAATAATAATATAATATAAATATTTTTAATTTCTTTTAGCAAACGCATGAATATTCTAAAATAAATATATATAGATATAGAGAAGAAAAATATAATATATTGAATTTAATTAATTAAATTTTATTCTAAATTTCAACATTATATAATAGAAGAGGAGAAATTAAATGAAAAAAAATAAAATACTCCCTCCGTCCCATTTTGTTTGCATGGTTTGACAAAACACGCGTATTAAGGATTTAATAAATAAAAGTTATTTTTCTTTTTACCCTTAACTCATTGAAAATATTAATAAAAGTCTCTCATTTAATGAAGGATAATAAATATTATTATGAGAAAAATAATTATTTACATATCGAAATTTAGAAGTCTTGCAAACATTTTGGGACATCAACAAACAAAATGGAACGGAGAAAGTATTTAATTTCATTTTGTATAATTTTGTACAAAAGCATATGTTCAAATTGTGTATTTTAAAAAAATTATTTTTTTTTTCTTGTTCTTTCCATTCTGTAATGTGGGGATTGTATGCACTTTATAATGATAGGAGCATTGTTCTGAAAATCGAACCGAACTGACCGGTTCAACTGGAAATCAAATTGTATTTCAATCTAGATTGCATAGGAAAATTAGATGTCTATAAAACTGGCTAAAAATCGATTAAAATCGGCGAACCAGACTGATTAAGAATCAGTTCGGTTCAATTTCTGGATTTTTCCTTAAGATGAGGACCTTTTTTAAAATTTAGGCTTCTTAAAAATTAGCCCAATGAATTTTTAATTTTTGGGCTTCTTTATTACTAAACCGAAAATCTTAATATGTTAATTAAAATAATTAAATTACCTAACTTTAAAACCACACGTGAAAAATAATAATAAATTTTATGGTAATTAATTAATTTTTTTTAATTAAATTTATTCATATTTTATTCTTTTTGTATAAAATTATTTACTAATTTTATATTCTTTTCGAAAAAGTCAAATTTGAAAATGTTTTTTTTATTTAAGATCAAAATTTTTTTATAACCTATATTTTCAATTTTATTTAATAAATATACTTAAAATACTAAATATAAAAATCCAGTTGAATCATATTGAATCGGTCGAACTCCTCCGTTTCAGTGAATCCTTACTTTCACTGGTTTTAAGTTTTAAGTTACCATGATTACTTGTGCTAGCAACATGCAAAAGAGAGAATTATTTATTACTAACTTCGATGATGTGGAATCTTTTTTCAATTATTTACTAAAAAAATCTATTTATATCCTTTTAACTCTGACTAATGACTGGGAATTGATAAATAATATTTTATATTACTCCAATAATAATTGAGAAATTTTTAAGTGTTAAATTGAAGTTTAAGGACAATAAGTTAATAAGGAAAATTATAAACCCATCTTCACATTATGGCAATTAACTATTTTGTGCTTATATTTTTTAAAATATACTACTTTGTCCCTATATTTTCATTCCGTCCAACTATTCTATCCTTCCGTCAATATTTTTGATTTTTTTGATAAATTTAAAGAAAAATACTGAAATATCCTCTCGTCTTCTTTCCTCTTCTTGTTTATTCTCTCTCCCTTCTGTCTCGCCTTCCCCCTCTATCTCCTTCTCATCAATTCATGCAATACCCTAGTTAAAGTTCGACTTAAAGAAACCAACTTACAGGAAAACATACCAGAAGATTTAGGCTTACATCCAAACTTGGATTATATTGAATGAGCTTCAATAAATTTTATGGGGAAATATCAGAAAATTGAGGGAAGTTACAAAATTTAACACGCTTGAAAATTTCCAACAACCAAATTTCTGGTAGCATACCAACTGAGATTGCCAAAGCAACTCAATTGCAGGAGCTTGACCTTTCCTCCAATGAACTAGTCGGAGAGATCCCAAAAGAATTATGCAAGATGCCATTGTAGGTTCTTCAGATGAATAACAAGCAGCTTTCAAGCAATATTCCTACTGAACTTGGAACGATGTCTAATCTGGAGCAGCTTAACCTAGCAACAAATGACCTACATGGATCTATTCCTGCTGATTTTCTTGAATGAGTTGCAATACACCAGCAACAACATTCCTTTAGTAGAGAGATAAGGATGTTTGTGTCCTTTCACAAACCTTTTAACAAAGAAATTGAAAATATTGACCAAAGGAGAAAATAATTGCTAGGAATCAAAACATAGAAACACATCAGCGTATTTTCAAAAAAATAGGGACACAGAATTTAATTTTGACATAACATGAGAAAACATTTATAATTTTCCCTAGAGTGATAGGATTTATACTCTCGCGACGGCCAGTGAAAATAAGCCCAATTGCCTACCAAAGTATGCTCTACGATAATAATTTTAAACCATTAAATTAAAATCTGATTTCCACTTGATATTTGATAGACAATTGTCTTTCAAAGTAAATACTGCTCCCCTCAATGCTTAAGAAATTGATGTTGCTCCTAATAAAGTAAAAATTAAATTTAAGGTGTGCATTAAATTTAAAGTTCCTTATTTTCTAGAACACAATTAGCTAATTAAAATTAAGAGAAGGTCAGTGTGAGCTAATTAAAAATAATTCCTCTTAACATTTAAAAATTTATATTTATAATTAGCTATGTAAAGATCACTCATGGCATCACTGCCAGCATCTCAAGTCTCAATCAGTGAAAGCCATCATCATCATTACCAAAGCAATCACCCATATTCTAACCTCTATATCACCACCATTATAGATTTTCTTGGAATAGGAGCCTCTTTATGTCTATAAGTGTCCGGAAACTAGGTCAAATAATGTTTTAGAAGGCAACATTATTTAATTATTAAATACATGAAATGCATTTCATTAGAAACACTCTAAGGGAAAAAGAAAGCGAGCACTAAGTTGAGCCAAGCTCTATTAAACTCAAGCTTAACTTGATAGAAATATATTCGAATTCAAGCTCAATCCAACTTGGAAATTCAAGTTGGAATTCAATTTATTTATAATTTATAATTAAAAATAATAAAAAGAAAACCCAAAAGATGCTAAAATGAACAAACTTTTTTTGAAATCAAGTCTCAAGTGACTCAAGAACCAAGCCGCTCAAAAATGGTGTGACACGAATCATTAACAAAATTAGGTAAAAAGGAAAAGTGAGGGACTACCAACTAACAGAACAAAACCAAATAATAGCTTTTCAACACATTAATTTTGTTAATTGACATGTAGAATCAGGTGAATCTTCCATAAAAACCAAACCAAATTGTAACTCCTACATTTTCTTCAAACCAAAGTGCGATATATTTTTTTCAAACAATGACAAATAATTCTAGGAATGGTGCCCTATATCCATTTTTCACTGTTCCATTACAATTCCCATAGAAGCAAAAATTAGACACAATGAACATTCAAAGTCCTATGAATCAATATGGTTAGAGTTGAGGCTCAAAATATCTGTCAACAAAATATTAGCTGTAAAAGTTTTTAAAAAGTGCAGTATTGTAAGAACTTCAAAAAAGGTTTTTGCATCTAATACAATCAATAGGTTTAAAGTTTGCATCTAAGTACAATCAATAGGTTTTCAATAATTCATGACAAAAATCATGTTCCAATCGATATTGTTAGAACTTGATTATGCTCAAAGAACAATTGTTAAAAAATAATAACTAAATATACAAATGCAATAAAATTTAAGTAATTAGAGGCTTACACTTGGCAGTTGGCATATACCTGGCATATGTCCATTCTGCAACCCCGAATTAAAATTTCTTTTTGTGCCAAAGACTAACCACCTCTGAGCTTGCTCGCCGGGCAGTAGTTCCTGAGCATCCTCGAGTTCCTGCTTCATAAGAAGCCTAGTGGTATGAACCAAATCTTCCGTATTAGTACCGAAAGCTGCATCTGAGTTTTTTGGTTTCACTGAGAAATGGGTTTCGAGGCCTTTAGGTTCTCTCAATGAAAACTGATCCTTGGCAAATACTCCCATCACAGAGGAATTCATGGATTTCTGCCTACAAGTGACAAAACAATAAAACATTTAACTTCATACACCAGCTAAGTAATTGAGAAATTCATTGTGATTTCTTGCCTACAGAGTACAACAATAACATAAACTTCATACACCAGCTTAAGTAATTAATGAGGTTAGGCAATATTTGCTGCAGTTTTCAGTATGTATACAGGAAAAATAAGTGAAAAGTAAAAAAAAATAAAAAAAAAAGTCATCAAGTAAAGAGAACAATATGTAAACTACAATTACCCCTCCCATTTCTGCTTGCACAGTTTTCTATGTTACAACAAATAAATTGCACGAAAAACAAGATTACATTATCTCAACGTGAATATTCACAATAACACGCTAAATAACAACTTGACTTGACAGTGCAATTTTTTTACTTTTGTCAATCACAGTAATAATACACTGTAATGTTTTATGTATCAGTAGGGAAAGCAAATGAAATAATTGATAAATCACATCACTACAGGATTCACAAAAATTTTAATAAAAAATAATATTGTTGAAGAAAGATAATGGAGGAAGAAACAAAATAACAACTTACAGATCTGTACTTGGGAGCCAGAGCAGGTAGCCTCAAGTAAGCCATGTTCTTAACGTCATAATCCCATAAAAAGGAAGTGTGGTGCACCCACCGACTTTTTATTATAGATTGAGCATTTCCACCAAACTTGTGATCACCGAACACATAATCTGCAAAAAATTAGAAGTCTAAAAAAGCTATAAAAAATAAATGTAAAAATAAACGACAGATTTATGCATGAACTTCAGATGAGAATTACAAAGTGCTCAAATGGCTTACTGAGTAATAATAAAACAAATTCTGCTTCAAGTATTAATGAAAGAGCAAACTTAAAATGTTTATCTACAAATCTATAATTGAGGGAGAAACAACATTAAATTTCATAGCACAGAAATACACCAATTTAGATATAATAGCCAAGTAGTTAAAACAATGTAGCATCTACCTATAAATTACATATCTTTCTTTGTGATTGTTGTCTAATACCACACAAAAATGTCTCGCAATGATAATGAAAGTATTCCAAGCTATATAGAATAGACAACAAATAAGCATCAATTTCTATGCATGATTACATCAATGAAAAGTTACACAAAATTATGTTTTCTTTTTCTATTTCATTTCTTTCGAGTATTAAAGCATGCAAAGATGTATATATGCAATTCTCTAAATTAATGTTATTCTTGAGTGTCACTTCCACTAGTGCATGACATAGGTACATACGCCAAAAGAAATTTTAATCAAAGTCCAATCTATGTACCATTCTCTCGAAGTTGGAAATCACCAATCCCTTGAAACACTTCATTATACAACAGACCACTCCAAGACATGATGGAAGGAGGATATGGTTGCACTCCAGGAACATCATCCTTGTTGCATATGAGAGTGACAAATATAGTGCCACCGTCAACAATAACAGTGCCACCCCCAGTAAACCTTTTGATAACAGGAACATGATCTCGCAACACAGGTCCAATTTCAAGAAGTTCAGAAGGCTTCCTATGTAAACATTCACCTCTATCAATACACATCTGAAGAAAATGAATTGTGACTAAAAAGCCACAAAATACATGGATATATATAGTTGTTACCTCATGTACTCAGACAAATTGAATATGTATTAAGACAAATATGTTACTACAATTACCAATATCTATCTTAATCTATTATTATCCTACTCTGTGAAAAGTAATCTGGGTAAGTACGCTCTTTTCAAATTTAGAACATTGTAAATATTTTTATCCCCATAACATACACCAAAGCAATTTTCATCACAATTTAACTAATTGTTAAGAAATTATTAACATTAAAAAACATCATGCTGGAATAGCATTCTGATCATTCTAACTAAATTACAGCGGTGCAAAGCAAAAACTTTTACTGTAAAACAACTCCAATGATAGCTTACCCAGACAGTCCCATGACTATGGCAGGGGCATTTGTTCCATCATTTACAATGCACCAATTATCTGAAGAGGTACGGAGTAGCTTTTCCTCCAAATGAAGTTGCTCCAAAATGGACACTCCTTTGAATTTGACAAGATTCATCAACGGACGTCCTACCTTCGTTGTTTGATATAATACGGTCATTGAGCAAGAGAATAGTACAAATTCTTCACCCTTCTACTTCAAAATATCACTAATAAGCAAAAAATACATCTACTTTTATGAGTTGTTTAAACAAAAGGATATACAAAAACTTTACAATTATACAAGGCTCAAATTAAAAACTTTCAAGTTTGATTAGAGCTCAAATCTTCATACATAATGGTAATGAAATTATGAATAACTATATATTCTTTATATGTAATAATGAACATTTAAAATGAAGGAGACTGCTATCAAAACGTTGTCAGCAAATTCAAGTTTAAATTAATCATCATAAACTTAATTTGAATAACTGATAGAAAATCAAAATACACATGAACTGAACACTAAACAACTGTGCAACTGTAGTTGCATTGATGGTGGTAGTAGAGTACTGGTGGTTCCAGTGGTGGAGTGGTGGCTGCGATGGTGGTTGTGGTAGAGCGATGGTTGCAGCGGCAGTGGCGGCAGCAAAGTGGTGGTTGCAGTGATGGTAAAGCGGTGGTTGCAGTGATGGTGAAGTGGTGGTGGTGGTGGTGGTGTTGGTGGTGGTTGTGACGGTGATAGTAGAGGTGGAGTGATAGTTGCAGTGGTGGTGGTGGTGGTGATGGTGGTGATGGCCGGCGGCAATGGAGTGGTGGTGGTGAAATGATGGTTGTGATAATGGTTGAGAATGGTTATGGGCTTTGAGAAATGTAATGGACTTTACACAGTTTTTTTTTATATAAATAATATTACATTAATTTAGGAAATGAAAATTACACATGTAATCTCAATTACATTACATGATTAAAAAAAGTCTAACCAAACAATGTAATCAGTCATGTAATATAATTCCTATTCCATTACATGATTGATTACATCATACCAAACATAGCCTTACGTTCTTGGCTTCCATTTCTACCTTACAGATCAATATGTATCAAGAAATTCAAATCCTCAAGTTTGAATATAAAGAAAACTAACAACTCTAGCCTTCCAACAGTTTTATAAAGACAATGCCATTGATGATGATCAATGGCCCTGAATAATGGGAATTAGTTAGAAAATTAGAAAGTACAGATGAACTTTGCATGCCATTCATAGCACAAATGCAAGATCTACTAATCTACAGAAGTGTCTCATCAGAAGGACAACAAGAACCCAGTCAAATACATTAGATAATGAAGAAGACTTCAGATGGTACGTATTACACTACAGTTACACAATTACACTGCAATTATGGTCCTGTGACCTGGAATGTCCACTTTTTCATTACATGAAACAGAAACTCAACTTCAGATCTATGTAATGATCCAATTATAGATGCAATAATTGCTTATCCATGAAAGTAATGATCCAATCATAGATTTAATAATTGCCTGCAGTACATGATTTAAATAAAGAAAGTCATCATGGCATAATCTTTTGACCAAAAGACACATGAAACCATTTACACAGAGCTGTAAGTGACCACTACAAGCACACAATGGCTTTGTAATCTTAATCCTATTTCGCTTATACTTTTAAACTAGGATATTTAAAATTTGAAAGAAAGAGAAGAGTCCGTAGACAGCCAACAGAAAATATAACCAACAAAGAAAATGTTGCAGTAATGGTACTACAGTTCATCTCTCACTTTTGCATGCATGTTCCCATGTAGACATGTGCCCTACGATGTCAAGTGTGCATGTCTACAAATAGATTGTACAAAGCGTTATGCCTACGCACTCCACATCATAACACCTCTAGTGCCCCATGCCCCATGCTCCATGCCCATACCCCTATCATGAACCAACACATGCATGGTCCATGTGATTAAGATTTTGACATGTATAAAAACAAATAAATCAAAACATGATTCGTTTCAATCCACTTGTTCATCCTTCTCATGAAAAACTTCCTTTTCATGTCCTCAACTTTTCTATTCCTCCTCTATTTTCAATCATTCCACTTTTCTATGCTTCCCCCTGTTCCCCATCTTTCCACTTCTGTAATCTTGATACCAAGTAACCCTTTGTTATAACAGCATTGAATCCAACTCCCAGCCATGGAAAAACGGTGCAAAATTGCATGAAAAAAGAACTGCAATGTCGATGATAAAGTTTTAAGCTTTAAAAAAAAATCTTTCTCAACTTCCACATTACAAACAAAGAAAATAATTTGGATCTCAAAACAATATTCTCAACAAACTAAATTTAAAAAAAAATAAAAAAAAATAAAAAAAAAACAAAAAAAAAAACAGAGAATTGCAATTCAGTTGTGGAAACTTCCATTCCTCTCTCGACATAAGTAGTAATAGAATCCAAAAAAAAAAGTTGGAACTTTTTCCTTTCATTAATTTTTTTTTTTTTTTTGTTCCAATAAAATTGACAAGCCAAAATAACTTAAATTTCAGAAATATACAAGTGCTTCAAAGGAAGTTCAATACAACTTCCCTGCACAGCGAACACAAATGCAGGCAAGAGACCAAACATGAAATGTGCTAATTACACAAAATGTGATCTCGGCAAGTAGGAGAATGCATTCAACAGGAAACATACTTAGAGAACCAAACATGATGGTCCATACATCTCACATCCATAATTACTTCAATTCTAGAACTGAAGAAACTACCATTCCAATGGAAACACAAAGGATCAATACAACAAAATAGAGAGACATAAATAACAAAAGAAACGCATACCTAGTACTGCAGTTAGTTATCATTCTGAAAATGTTCCTCTTCTATACGACCGTCACAAAATGCAAAGAAGTAGAGCCACTGTTATTTATTCTGCAGTCTTGAGTAGCTCTGTTCCTATAATCATCCAATATCAACAATAATACCCCAAAAAAAAAATCTTTATTTCAAGCTCCAACAACTAATTTTCTGTCAACCAAATTAAAATAACAAAAATTTTGGTTAATTTAACTTCGTTGAACTTGATCAACCTCAAATTATTAATTTTCTTAACTATCAGATAGTTTAGATTAAAAAATACCAAATCGAAATTGACCCGATCTACTCATTTCTATCACAAAATCCAAAAAAATAATACAATTTATATTAATCCGAAAATCTCAAAAAAATAAATAAATTAATAATCTTTCGAATTCAAGTCATCAAAACATGAATCCATAAGCTATTTTTTTATATTATTCGATATTTAATTGGAAAAAGAAAACGTAGAAAAAAAGAAATAAATTGAAACAGTATTACCTGCAGATGATACAACAACTAAAAGCATGTATAACTTGTGAGGTTCGTTTCTCGCCTTACAGAGGAGAAGAAACCCTAACTAGAAAGAAGAGGAACAGTGAGAGAGATACGACGCCGTTGATCTGGAAAAAATAGATATGGCGTTGACGGTGCAAGTTAAGTCGGCGGTCATCGACAGGTTCTGCGATTTGTTATTTTTCCTTTTTCTTTTACTACGTTTTTTTTTTTTTTTACCTGCGTTCCACTTTTATTATAATCGTTATTTATATTCATTTAATATTTTTATTTATACAATTTAAAACATAAATTTTTATTTAAATTAAAATAATTACAATATTTATTTACATTACATTATTACTCTAAAATTATTTATAATATTAATTTTATATACTTAATTTTATTATATATAATAAAATGATTTCAAAATAAAAATCAACTCAACGCCTAAATTTAAATTTTATGTAAACTAAATTGTAGAAAAATAAAATTTTATTTTAAAAATAAATTAGAAAAATTAAAAATTTTCAAAGGCTAATTATGTGTAGATATATATTTAAAAATAAATTTATGAAAAAATCCTATCAAATTTTAAAAAATTAAAAAAAATTCAAAAGTTAGTTCTAATCAAAATATTTTAATTGGCTATAATTAAAGTTATCTTAGAATATTTTAAAATTTCACTAAATACACTATCAGAAATCTCATTATTCATTCCTCTGTTCTCACATTTATATACAGTATAAATTATAAATTAAGTATTGATAATTTAAGCTTAAGAATTTGCCAAATAGAGCCTTTTTAAAGAGCTTCAGCTGAGATTTTGTAATTTTTCTCGGATATCATCAATTATCTTCAAGCTGCAATGGTTGTTGAGGCACACTTTGTTGTCCCATTTACTTTTTGGCCTAGCAAAGTTTGGTTCCTACAGGTATTTTAATATATTATATCAGTGAATGAAATATTTTTATATATCCATTAAAGTAGATATAGGTAAATAATTACTTACTCATTGTGGTTGTTGTCTTTTTCTTCTTTGCTTTTGTTGCCGGCGACTTAGTTTTTGTTTGCTATTTTTTTGCTAGGCATTTCTTTTTTTCTGTTGTTTTGAGTTCAGGCCTTATATCTTTTATTATGACAGTGCTGCTATTTATTGTAGCCAAATATATTCACTATCATTTTGCTCTTAGAATCAGAGTATATATTATTTTGTTAAATCTATTAAATTTTTAACAAGTATTTTTGCAAACATACACCAAAATATATTTTTACTTTATTTATATTATCCAACCATAGTAGATATTTTTGTGAGACCATTTTCCTCTTAAGTCAAAGTACATATCAACTTATAGATCTATGAATTTTTAACATTGATTTTTGAATAGATACACCAGAAAGATTTATTTACTGTATTTACAATAGTCAAACATACTCAATAATTTATTTTCTAAAGTCGTTTTTCTTTTAGAATCAAAGCATATATCATCTTGTAAGTCTATGAAATTTTAACATGAATTTCTAGAAACCAATGAAATTTTTTCTTTATAAAATTTCTAATAATTTTTTAGTAATTCTGTGAATATACCATTTGATATACTAGTCATATTTTGACATGCATTATTTGAAGGAGTAATAAAATGGCTTTTTAGAGATTAGATTTGTGTTATTAACCTATTGTTGATTCTTTTGGTTCTGATTTGCAGAATATGCCAGATGATGTTGAGATTTTCTCATTGAATCACAGAAGTGCATTTTTTACTTGTTTTTCTCCAATTAAGTAAATCAAACCGGAGATTTGCTCTTATAAAAGTTCAAAAATCGCAATTCAAGATTTTTATTGCGGTTTGTAGGGTTTTTCACCATGGTGGTCGGAGGAGGAAGGATTTGTTTTTGCATCTTGGGTAGGAGATTTTATTTTGAATAAATTGTAGCAAGTGGTTAGTTTATAGGTTAATGGTGTCTATTTATTAAGGTTAGTTTGGGTATTTTTATTTTTATTTTTTTGTTTTAAAATGACATTCTCCTAATTTTATACTTTTATGAGATTTGGTTAAAATTAAAATGTTATTTTTTACATTTGTTAAAAATGCTTTTTTGTAACACCCACAGACCAATCCCGGAGAACCAGACGGTGGATGCCACAATCGGTGCCGGAGCACTATCTTATGTCATTTATTAAAGCTAGATCACAAATTAGAAGTGGTTAAATTTTCATAAGCAGGCAAGTATTAACATTTTGTTTTTTTTTTTTTTTACAAAAATAATGTTTAAGGAAATTCCTACGAAAATTTCTCAAGAGTTTCCTCTAAAAATTAACTTGCCACACAAAGAAAATATACACACTTCCAATTTTCTCCAAACCCCCAAAACTCCAATTCAACCCCCAAAACTCAAATTCAAACACAACATACACAGCACTTCTAAAAATATCCATCAACATACGCATAATATTCGAAACACATTCTTTTTCTTTTTCAAGGAATCTATAATCATCATAAGTCACCAAAAATATAATAAGATGTTATTTTCTTAAGAATAATCATAACTCTTAATACATGACAAACTTATTATAATCCAACCTTCACAACCCAATATTTATATACATGCCAAAAAACCATTTACAAAATATCCTAATCCCAAAATGCGATATCTACTCTGATGCTCGTCCTCTATGGTCTTGAAGAACACCTCCGCTCCTAACTGCGCGTGATAAAAATTCAACGCGCTGAGTGGACAGAAGCTCAATGGTGCTAAATAACCAACAATTTAATTAACAATAATAGTTTCAAGGCAAAACTTAAATTAAACTCACTAATAATAAAGTAACCTCCGAAATCGCAGTTCATTTAATTTAAAATACTTTGAAAGGCAATGAGAAAGATTATTAAATACAAATAATGTCATTCATGTCTTTTTATAGCAACAATAAAAATTTCATTTTTTCGTTAAGGCTCATACTCAGTGCAGAATGACATAAGCCAGATTTGACGTGGGGCTATGTTAGCGCCACCCCACATTCACATACTCGTGGCCTATGAAAAGCACCATCGTGGCCTATGAAAGCACCACCCCCATCACACAAAATAAAGCGCGTCCGCCTATTATAAGGGGCTGATAACCCTAAGCATATGATCATAGCTTCACAATAGAAAATCCATCTCATCATACCACCGTCTCAATCAATGCAATAGTAGAGACCCGAAACTCAACAATTAATTCCTTTCACAAAAGAATAAATTCTTAATCAAAAACCTCCTTCATTTAGATACTCACGACATCAGTTTCAAAATTTTTACTCAAAACACTAATAAATGTATAATATATCTTTAATATAGTATAAAAGTAACAAGTAAATCAAGAACTTTTCAGCATTTTCATCAAACTTGACCCTTTGCTGGGTTATCAAAAGCACATAATTGTCGAGTTTATGGGGTCTCCAGAATTGAATGAAATTAAGATTAATAGAAATTTAAGACAAAATTCTACAAATTTTCAGAAGGGACCGCACAGCCCAGATCAAACAGTAAAGAATAGCAAACAGAAAGCTTCAGAACAACAGCCAACGAGACAGAGCCTGATGTCAGCACAAAACCAAGTCCAATGTTTCTTGAATTTCTACTTCACGCAAACACTCAAATGAACCAAATCTAGAACGAGAGAATTCTCAAGACACCAGGGCACACTTTTATGAAAGAACTCAGAACGCTAAGTCTTTGTCATTATAGTGGTCAAAATGGGCCACCTCAAATTTAGTAAATGCAATGTGGCCCGACACAACAGAGTCAGTTTGGGTGTTTCAGCCATAAGTTGAGCTATATAATATCAAATTTGGGACACAAAGAGGATGGGTTGGAAAGATAAGAAGTAAAGATATAACTTTAATGAAAGAAGCATAAAGCGTTATTGTTTCCATTTTGCAGTGGTCAAAAATGGACAAGTCAGTTTCGGATAGACAGGTAAAGATATCATCAACAGAACCAAGTTGTTGGTAATTTGTAAAAGTGCATAGAGTTGAAGCTACAAAGTATTTGGAATGTAGAGCATAGAGAAATTGTTTTGGAAAGCCTGGAGAAATAGAGCTACAAACTTTCATGAAGAATGGTCAGAAACAGAATGGGAAGTATAAAAATGGGGTCAAAAATGAGTTCCAATCCCCAACAGCAGAACAACATCTCACAAAAAATTCAGAACCAATTTCAACAAAAAACATAAACAAAGTTCCCAAAATATATTCAAAAACCCTAACCCATGTAAAAACAACTTAAACAAGTGAAATTATGATTGCCAACCTTATTAACAAGCTTGAATAAGCCTTGGAAAGCCTTACTCACTTGGCCTTTCTCTTTACCTTGAGGAATGGTTCTCCAACCTCTTCAAAGGCAATGAAAAGTCAAACATTAAACAAGCAAAACATGACAAAAGAAAATAGTTGGAGCATGATTTAATGCCATCAATACACATGTCTAAACATGAATTCTACTTAACAATTCACAAAACTCAAAACCACAACTTACTTGCTTCAATGGTAACTTCATTCTCTTTGCTTTTAATCACCAATCTTCAACTTTACTCCTTAATTCTTGAAAGCATTAAGTTCCTAATTCTATGGTTTAATTAGGTAGTTTGGTGGTAAATTTGGAAGGTAAGAAAATGAAGAAAAATGAAAGAAGAAGTTAAGAAGATGGAAATGGGCGTGGAGAAGAGAAGAGAAGAAAAGAAAAAAAAATGTTTGTGGTGTTACTTTAAAGTGCCAAAGTCAAATTTTGACTTCCTAAAAATCATGCCAAATGGTGTGGCTAAGATCAAGTCCTAAATAATCTCATCAATGACTCTAAATAATTCCTCAAAAATAAATTCTCTTCTACTTATTATTATAACTCCACACCAAATTAATTAAATTAACTCCACTAAAATAATTCCTCTAGCATACCACAACTTAGAAATATTATGCATTTTAAAATACATAAACTCTCAAAAATATTCATTAAATATTTTCTACCCACCTAAATCATGCAAACATGCTCCAAAAATAAAGTAAATAAAATATTAACTATGCATAGTAATGTTTTTCGGACTAAAATAATACCAAGTCCCCGGACCGAATGGTACTATTCAACAGACCCGGTATAAAATCACTATTACCGACACTAAAAGAAAAAATCAGTCTGTTACAGTTCTCCCCCCCCCTTAAAAGAAAATTCGTCCGGCGAATTTACCTGGTGTAAATTAACTGA